TTATTCAGTATGGAGTAAAAGAGGCGCTTTACATAACACGCCAAGTTTCTAAATCATATAGAAGCACTGATTTGGCGTTAGGGTTAAAGATATAGATCTTTTTCTTTATGCTTAACTCGGCTTTACAACTTCAAGAATACACATCCAGTCGTAATATGAGGTCATGTCCAGTAAGGTCCACCATGTTAAGGTGTTATCGAATAATCATCGGTATCATTTGGTTGGTTAGAATTCAAGGATAACTACTGAATTCTAGCCCCAATTGGTTTTATGGTCAACAAGGTTAGCCTTGTGACCTGAAGGTTACAGGTTTAATCCCCGGTGATGTTGTAGATACACAGATGCTGAGGAGTTCAGGAACTAGGAAGAGAAACAGTTGTTCAGTGCTTCCTGGTTTTCAATGTCTCCTTGACCAGTGTTGGTTTGTGATGAAATCAACATGGAAATTAATCCAAATCCCTACTATACCCATAACAGATTAAATAAAGAAGCATTAAATTTATTCATTTTTACCGAAGAATTTGATGAATAGTAAGAAGTACCATTTGCTTATTTCATGATATAAACTGTATTCTTAAGATACTTTTTTTTAATTATCACAAACCTTATTATTATTGTTTCCTTTAATTCCTAGAGGAACATAGGACTTCAGCCGTGCGTCTCCATTGCGTTCGGTTCTCTGCTAGGGTCTTCACCTGGCTCCAAGTCTGCCCACACGCTTTCATCTCCTCTTCACATGATCTCCTCCAAGTCACCCTTGCACTGACGACCAACTCGCCGCTTCCCTTTCGGGTTCCACTCGAGCAATGGCTTGTCTAGTGATGTCACTCACTTGACGGTTTCCTCAGAGTATGGCCAATCCATTCCACCTCGATTTCTTCCTGCCTATTTGTTTCACAATCGGTTCCTGCTCGGTTGGTTCGCTCCCAGAGATCTCTGTTGCTGATCTTTCCTGGCCGGCCATCTGATCTTGAGTAATGAGCGAAGACAACTGTTAATGAAGGTCTGAAGTTTGTTTGAGATGCTCTTTATGACGCGCAGTGCAAGTCTCTGATCCGTGTAGTAGCACTGACTTCACATTGGAGTTAAAAATCCGAGTCTTATTTTTGATGCTGAGTGTTGTTGACCCCCACACAGACTTGAGAGTAGTGAAAGCTTGTCTTGCTTTTCCGATCCTTGCTTTGATATCCTCGTCAGTTTCATCCGCCTGTAGTTGAAACAATGATTCCCAAGTAGGTAAAGGAGGTAGTTTCTTTCAGGTTCCTTCCATTTATGCTGATTGTTGCTGTTGCTGGTGTTGCCCGGGAATCTTCATCCCCTCTGTTTTCTCTATGTTCACCTGAAGTTCTATCTTTGATTCTTCTTTTGCCAAGTCGTTGTTTTCCACTTGCATATCTTCCAGTTTGTTGGAAATCAGACATATATCATCGGCGAAGTCCAGATCCTCCAAGTTTTTTACCAAAGAATTTGATGAATAGTAAAAAGTACCATTTGCTTATTTCATGATATAAACTGTATTCTAAAGATACTTTTTTTAATTATCACATGGTACCATTATCACAAAAATAATGAAAAGCTGTTCCATTTTCATTTTAAATATCTTACTGGTGTCCATCTGTGTTGTCAGTAGGAAAGCACTATTTTACAACTGAATTCGTTATCCGAACTACTTCAAATCAATTCGACTCATAATGTAATGTGTGTATTTTATCTTATTCGCTATCTCCACTAACCACTATATTACTCACTCATTGTGAAAACAATCCACTGAAAGTTGTTGTTTCACAAATAATCTTTGATATATCACTTTAGAGGAGATAAAAAATAAATAGGCCTTGTGTACTATTGTCACAATATAGTCATAATGCATTTGGATAAATGGAAAGAGTTATGAAATTCAAAGAAATTTAATCGACGACAACTAAGTCAGCTAATATTTTCACAACTGAATGATTTAGAAGAAAAAAAAACAAACGACAACATAACTATTGTTTATCAACAGACATCTGAACTTGAATTTCAATTTGATACCATTCTGTACAGCATACAAATATTGAGAAAACTCAAAGGAACTATAATCAACGAAAATGTATGGAGGAATTTGATGAACCTAGAAGTTCATAAAAAGTGAATGTATCTATGCTATTGAGAACGATTTTAAGTCATGTCACCAAGTCTTTAATTGTTGGTTCTTAGTATTTTGAGGATCCCAACTAGGCAGTTCACGCTTTTCCACATGATCAGAACCAACAGTCGAAGACTACATGAATTGATGCCATATTCAGATTTGACCGCTTCTAACTCTTCTTCAACTTAGTCATATGTTACCTCATCGATTGGCCTGTCCCCCTTACTTAACCCAGTCGAGACAGTGATAGTCTCGTAGGTTCCGTAGTAACTATGACTTCGTTTGAAAATTCATTCACTATTCACAGAATAGTTGTCTACATGAAACGATCTACTACGTGAAGCGTGATGTTCAATTTCACTAGAATAATAAGATTCAAGGCGACTTTAGCCACCTTTATTAAGATGAATTCGTGCATCGGTGGCACAGTGGTATAATGCTCGCCAACCAGGCAGGTGGTCCGGGGTTCGACCCCCGGCCACCGACACACTCCTAAACCTCGCTAAGCCACTTATAAGACTGGTAAAGAGGGGAGGTTTGGCATGAGGCTAGCAACCCCATCCCGTAAAAATTAACACTACTGCTACCGAAACTTCAGGTTTCTAGCTTGAAGCCGTATATTCCACTGGGAATGTAGAGGAATAAAAAATTTTAAAAAAACACATGAATTTGAGATGAGCCAAGATGCTACTCCATTGGTGAGATTCCAGGAGAAATAAACCTAAGGATATTTAGCTCAGTGTGTTTCTATTATCCTTCACAGACTGCTTTTGGAAAACGGTTTTAAGTTTTCAGTAGAAGGTATAACGCAGTTACAAGATTGCTAGATTCACATAATGTGACCTCTGGAGATGAATTATTACTGGGAATAATACTATGAACACCAGAATATTTTAGGGATTAAAATTTATGTTCCTGACTAAACCAAGCGCTACTGATGCTTTAAGACATTAGTTAACTACGTCAATTTCACAAGAGTTAATTCTACAGATTTTCATCGCATTCGGATTAATTTCTTTATTATATCTCACTTTCTGGGGATTCTAAGGTACACAGACCTTGAACTGCTACAAATTCACCAGCGAAGTGAACCACATGCAAAATATATCCTTTCAGTAAGTTTTACTGACATCTGTCTGCCGTTACATACATTATACAATCTGATCATCGGGGTATTTATCAATTAACCAAAGTGGTTAGGTATTTCCCAAGGTGAAAAAACTACAAGTATTTCGTTTTTCATCAATAATATATATCTCAAGTTTAATAATCCCGCCTTATAAATTAATGATAAATAAGTAGTAAATTACCTTTTAGTACTTCTTATGCTTTTATTAATGATAACCATTTAAAAGGAACTCCTATATTCATATTATCAATCATAAATGAAACATAACTCAGTAACAGTTAAACAGTATGGATTAACATGGATGCAAGTGAAAAGTACAGCAGAAGACAGAAGTAAGTGGAGGCGTGCAGTTGAAGCCCTATGTTCCACTAGGAACCCAAGGGAACAATAATAATAATAATTAATGAACGATACTGCTTAACAACATAAGATTTGGTAGGTTATGCAGTGTTTGAACTCACGATCTGCAATAAGCAACAACTCCACTTAAATCATAAAATACATCAGTAATCAATGGTTAGATCATGCGTTTTGGAGGGATTAGAGCTACTTTTGATGCAGATTTCATCACGAACTAAAATCAATATTTGTGGATAATTTTTAGATGTTAGTTTGTAGGGATTTGATTGATTTCAAGTTAGGTGATAAACTGACTTTAGTTACGGGACTATGGTAAGAAGTAAAGAGCACTGGACAGCTGCTTCGTCCCACTTAGAGACTCTTAGAAAGTGCGTCTCCTATAGGGGTCGAACCCTTCAATGACTCTCTAACCGATGTTGGTTCATGGCAAAATCTACATTGAATATAATCCCGATCCCTACAAAACCTATAATCTAAATATTAACTTCCAGATTGTTGGATGTTACTGGGTTTATATCCTGAAGTAGTTGCTATTCAATTCTACTATGTCAAGGTGAAGTGGATAGTCACAGGTAGCATTGGTTTGCGGTAGCATTATCTCACTAAATGGTATAGGTAGAAGCCAAGGTTTATTGAATTTCGACCAAAATGGCTGGATGGTCAATGAGGTTTGTCTTGCAATCTGAAGGTCCAAAGGTCAATCGTTGGAGAAAACAGCTGAAGAGTCCCAAACTGGAGAGGAACAATTGCCCACTGCTTCTCTATCTTAAGTAGGTTCGCAATGAAACCTACGTTGTGGTAGTTAAATTGAGTTCAACATACTTCTGCATCAGTTAGGGTATCACTGAAAAAGTTGTTACATCTTAACTAAGGACTTTTCAGTAATGCATATTCACTACCTCACACTCAGGATGAACCTCAGGACCCTAAAGTCACGAGACAAGAAAGCTATGATACAACAAGTATGTCAGAATCCACCGGACTCTATTATTTCATATTTTCGCTGATTCTTGGTGCAATACCACCACTATCAGAACAAAGCCATCCAGAAAGCTGCTAATCACTGCTCATCAGTGACTGACTTCGACAAAGACTCTCTCAAGAATGTAGTGAGTAGTTACCAAGTATTGGATATGGGAAATAGAACAACTGTTCCCTGATAAAATTGTGCAGAAGTGGCGTTATAATTCTTAGACACCAAAAACTGGGAATGATGAACTATAAGACTTTTCGAATTCAACGATTCTCTCTAACTGACGTCAATAATTATTGACAAAATTCACCCTAAAGTCAAGCGAATCGATGTAAGCTCAACAAATGAATTATTTGATAAAATTTATACCAATAGAGCAGAAAAAAGAAACAAGACTAGATTATTCTATATCACTTATATTACTAATGATGTTTGCAAAATTATTATTATTACCATTATATTTATTTTTTTGCCAACACAGGCAGAAACTTCATTTTGAAACATGACAAGGAATAAAGATAAAATCACAAGTGTTAAAATTACTTTCAGTTTCCTTTTCAAAGTTTTATTGCAATTTGATGTAAAATCCTTTAGAGTATTTATAATATTAATATAATATGGATTATGCAGACCTGGTGAATTGCAGAAAGAAACAGGTTGATTTTTGTGTGTGTGTGTGTTGTTGTAAATCATACCTCCTCCAAAACACTTCACAAATATATAGATGGATAAAAGAAGATGATAATAGTTTGTCTCTTCGGATGTCACAAGAAAAGAAACACACACACACACAACTGAACACAAAAAATAAAGAAACATCAACCCCAACTGCGAGTCAACCAAAGTCAGAAAGCCTAGAGAACACAAGTGTTGTCAATAATACATAATTCCAAGTAAATGTCATAAGTCAATAGTTTGTTTTAGAAAAGAAACAAACAAAACTCACCCTCCCCCCGCGCCAAAAAAATCGTTTACTCTTTATACTAAAGTTAAAAGGAGAGGACTAATACAAAGAAAGTAGTGGAGTGACAAATGTATTATATATATATATATATATATATATATATATAGACAAAAAGCTAGCTTTGGAAAGAAATCGATAAGGGTTACGGGGATGGAGACGTGGTGTGTGTGTGTACGTGGGGGAGGGAGGGGGTCAAGCTCTGTCCTTCTTCTTCCACTGTATGATACGTGATAGAGAAAACAAAACACCCCTAGAAGAACAACAGCATAACAGGAAACAAGTTAACAACATAAAACAAATTACCAAAACTGGAGTATTGCAAATTAAAACTGTAAACAGCACGAAAGTAGTAATAGGAGTACCAGTCTTATAGCAAAAAAAAAGAAGAAGGAAATACAGAAGAAAAAGAATACAAATTATCAACGAGAGAAATTTTTTTTTGTTTTTCAAATAAACATGTGACGACGTACTCACACACACAACATCTGCAATGTTTTTGTGTTAGAACAACTAACTAACTTGTAGCCAGAATTTTCGACACCAAACAAACAGCAACTCTTTTCTTAATAACAACCCGGAGTATTATTTGCTTATTTTGAAAAAGAAAAACTTCTTAGAAGAGAGTTGTATTCATTATTTGTGTCAACTACACTTTTAAATAATACACACATGAAAAAGAGAAAGCTGTTTTCATCATCATCATCATCATCATAACCGGGCATATAAACAATTCAATTAATAATTATATTAATATTATGTGTGACATACAAGACTACTTGAACTCCATGATAAAAATATACCTTTACTGAATACACATACATAAGGGGAAGTGAGATTTTAGCAGAGGCGGTCGGGTCGTGGTGGGGAAAGAAAAAAGAGTAATAATAATATTAGGACTAGTTTGTTGTTAAAATAATTGTGAAAAAGAATTAAAAGGAGCAAATTTAATTTCACAAGAAAGAAATGCACCAAGAACAAAACAGAAAAAAGGAGAATCAATGAATGAATGCAGTGGCCTGTCTACTATGCAGTAAATTTTTACGTTTTTTAACACAAATTAAATCTTAAAATTAAGTATAACTACATCGTCGTCAATAAAAGAAATGTGATAAGAAGAATTTTTTTTGTTCTTAAAAAGCAATGTGTAGTGTGCGCGGGCCGAAGTGGGAGGCAGGGAGTTGAGATCATTGTCAGCGAATACACATATACCCACGCCAGGCACATGATGCAAAACAAAACAAAAAGAAATTGTGTGTATAACTTCAAGGCAAACAGAAAGAGTTTATAGGTTGTTGTCATGATAATAGCGGAATAGATGTTGAATTAAAATCTCAGTGGATGATGCATGCATCATTGTTTCTTTTTCTTCTTCTCAGTATACGTTACATAATAAATAATAAAGAAAGCGCAACTAAATATTATTATAATTAGGAATACAAAAGTGGTGACTGAGAATTCTTCTTCTTCTGTGGTTTATTTAGGTGAAGGAAAACAAAAATGCAAAGTTAGAGACTGGGTTGTGAATTGAATAGGTAGACACACGTACGTACGCACGCACACGCACACACACATATACACATCGGAAAACGATGGCAAACATAAATAGACACACACAGATTATTGCACATACACATTATTGCTTTTATATTAACGTGTATAATAACCAAGAGCAAATTTACTTTGTGCATTCATATAGTGTGGATTACACATTGTATAAGAAATTCAACAATAAATTTGCTGTCAACTCTCTTAAAGATATGAATGCATTTCGAGTTCAGGAAAAAAAGGTTATTTACTCCGCCTAATTTGAAAATATGTAATTCAATGATATTGTGTAATAATACAAAACACAAAAAAATGAAGAAAGAACAGAGAGAGAGAAAAAAAGACAACAAAATATTAGTGTGATAGTCGACTGAATTAATTTGATTGATGATGATGGTAGTGGTGGTGAGGAGGAGGAGGACGGTAAAAGAGAGAAACAAAACAAATAGAAAGATACAATCAGCGATAAAAAGAGACCACAAATGCTTAATATTATTATTATTATTAATATTATTTTTTCATTCATAAAATGATTGCAATCCTATATATGTTCTCTTGTTATTTCTTTGCATTGGAAAAAAAGAACAACGACACAAGAAACAATGATATCGGTGATAACTGGAGAGAGAAAAAAGGGCATCGAATCATTTATTTATTCATACTGAGGGATACAGCTTAGTTTGATCAATTCCATATTCTCAAGAAGCTATCCCATGATCCTGTGCAAACTGCCATACCATCTTCAGATACACCCAAACAACTGACACGATTATCATGACCAGCCAATATACCTAAAGTTTAAAAGTAAAAAAGAGAAAAAAATATTTACATGAAACAGGAATAATGTTTAATTCAATAGACAAACATTCTGTTATAAAAACAGGAAGCGACTGGAATAGTGCAGTTATAAAAACAAATCAGTAACTGTACAAAGCTTTAATGTACCTAGTCTTTGTGAGAGACTTTATGAGTTAGTAGGGGGGTAGTATGAATCCACTGTTTGCTTTGATAGAATGAGTCATATTTTCGATAGTTAGAGTTTCAAATACTCAGTTACGAATCACTAAATTGCCGAGTAGTGATCAAAACATACCTCTAAATTCACCCATTTCAATGAACAAGCTTTGCTAGTCTGTAGCAGTAAGTACTGTTTGAGTCATATCTCGACAGAAGGCTTTGGAGTTAAACATATATGTTCATGAGTTCATGCTAGTAAAATGCGGTCAATTTCATCAGTAATATTTCATATTAACTTGTATTCGAATGGTGCTCATTTAAAATGAAGTATTTTCAAGGGTACAATTTGCCATTACTCAAAATACCTTCACTTCGACAAAATTAATATATCATAAGCGCTTTTATATGAAGAGCAACTTATACTAGTTGTACTAACTGGCATACAATTTAAATAAATACCTTGACAACAAGTTCAAATTTTCGACAAATGTACTATTTACAACACTGAACTAGTTATAATTTCAACAACAACAACAAAATTAAATCACGTCAATTCAGTGAAAAATCTACTACATATTTAAAGCTGAAAATTCTAATAGTAGAATAATTAATGTCCAGATGCCATCTGACACTGAAGAAACGGTCTAGAATCCTTTACTGCTGAATTTTAATCTATGTTTATTACAATATTACAAAAATTGTGTTAAATGTCTAATTTTCTTTATTAGGGTCAATTGTTTACAACCATATAAATACATTCTAGATGATAAATGGGAAATTGCATTTATCTACTGTATTCGAAAACAAAAAAATTGTACAGTAATATTGTGTAAATGAATGTGTTCACATGTGTTAAGACACACAAAACAGTGAACACAGTTGTAACGCTACCACTGCTACTGATACTATCTAGATTAAAATACTCTGCTTTAGTTTTTAATCATGGGATCACTTTAGTACAACCAAGTGAATTTATTTCTCTATAACATTTTCTACGCTAATTACATTTGAACAACGCCTTTGTTTCTGTTCTCATTGTAAAATTTAACTGACTGTATGTTTTCCAATAAGCCACAGAAAACTGAAGTGTTCACTTTCATCATAGTCATATTAACAGCATAAACATATAAAGACTTATAAAAAAGAAAATGCCCATCAATCAACAGAAAAATGATTGCAGATTTAGACTGTTATAAATTTTATTTGAACAAATAAAAAAACTTTAAGTGTTGTTTTGCGGGATTTGATTGATTACAGGATCTCATCATGAGCTGACATCGGTTAGAGAACTGTTTCGTCCCAGTTTGGGGCTATTCATAAGTACGCACCCACCGCTAGGGTTCGAATTCAGGACGCTCCGGTAACAAGGCGAGCTTGTATATCATTGAGCCACTGGGACCCGATCCAATGGGCCATGAATTCCAACCTGTGTCAATATACTCAATGGTTCTCAAATTGATATCAACCTGTGATCAAACTTGAAACCAATCAAATTCTCTATAAACTAACACTTGAACATTCTAGACTGCTAGTGTATCGTTTACTAAGTAACTATTTAGAAGATTTTCCAACTAGAATTGATATCATATACCTTAAAAAGGAGGTGTCAGTTGTTGATCATAAGCAGTTTTTACTACCTACTTGTAAAGCTCTGCCTATAAGCAGGAAATGACTGTATAAAATTTCCAAGAATTCATTTCATGGATGAACTCAGAAATATCAATCTGATCATGATTTAATCTTAACATTGCTACAGTTACACATGATACAACTTTAACTTTTATGTTATGATATTTTTTGAAATATACAGACGGATAAAATTGTTAAACTTAAGTGAAAGTTATGTAGAAAACAGGGGATTACATAAAGACTTGTCATCTGGTGAAGGGATATACCACAAATAGCTAAAAATATAAACTTTAAAATAAATTGTTACATACCAGCCCGTTCTTGTTTAAGAGTGTCCCATATATTACAATTGAAGTCATCATATCCACCAAGTAGCAGTCTTCCACTTTTACTGAACGCTACACTAGTTATTCCACAAATAATATTATCGTGACTAAACATTCCAATTTCTTGATCAGCTCTAATATCAAACAATCGACAGGTAGCATCATCACTACCAGTAGCAAAAGCCAAACCACTCGGAAAGAAAGTAATTGCATTAATATCTGATTCATGTCCAGTGAATGTTTGTTTGCACTGACCATCACGTATATCCCATAACTTCATTATTTAAGTACATTGTATACAAAAATGAAATAAATAGAAATACATTTTTTAATATAATAAATACAGTGTTTGTATGCACAGTTAATGAAACTCAAACTACTACTGGAAACGCGCATCCTATATTCACTATCACTACGGATCATATTAATAGCATATAGGTCTCTCTCTTGAAAGCAAAAACATGTTAAATTGTTGAAGTAGATGTAACACATCTTCTACGCATCAGAAACTTATCGGAAGTAAAACACTTATGAAAATAATTAATATCTGTGTACTGTTGAGAAATATTATTTAAAACAACGCTTTTGTGTAGCACACCATCACATAACTAGAAATAAGTCATACGGAAATAAATATCAGAAAATCCCTCAACATTCCCATTCAGTACAGGCTTAATCAACCAAGTTGCCATCAGTGAGACTGGTCACACTAGGTTTCATGCAACTGAGACATTTTGGGATATCTACCTAAATTCCAATGACTGTCAACTCAATGAATAATCAAATAAACAAGAAAAGTATCAAAAATTTGCTAAGTAGTAAGGCTGAATGCTTCTCTTCCTAGTTTTAAATGGTATTATAAGATGAGTAATATTAAGGTCAGGATTACAGTGTTAGATAAAGAACAAAGTCGATCAATGAGGTTGTGAAGCTGAACAGATTGAGACAGCCAGGACACGTGTTACAGATGTCAAGCCATCACCTTCCTCGTCCAACAATATTAGCTAACAAAAAGTTAGGTTGAACTAGAGTTAGGGATGCTCAAAACAAATTCTGGTACCAACCCGTGAGGTCTTTGGTTGTTGATCTCAGACATGTTGGGAGGTTTAATCTGCGTGATTGGGGTTCTCGGGATGTCAAGAACCAATGGTTTGACACTGTTGGTACGATAATTCAAAACAACTTTCAATGGCACAAATGCATCGATTCTTTGTAATTTTTGCAGGCCCACTTAATTTACATGTTTCTATTCTTTCTTCCGTACGTGCATGTTCAATATAGTTCGTTTGAATCACCTTTTTCCTGTGCTACATGGAGTTTGGCAACTTGAACTGCAGCATTTCTGTGCACAGTTCTATGTTAGAACTCAGTTAGTCAGGAGTGAGAGTGAACGCTAGAATAATTCTATTAACTTTAGTTTACTCATTTTCTAGAGAAACTAAAAGATGCACTGAATAAAGAACTCCGCTTGAAACAAACTGATAAGGGAATGATTAGTTGTAATTTGGTATCTCTATATACCCAAATTAAGTATACCTTATCTTTAACGCACTATTTGCACAGATATTCTGTGTTGTGCTACTTCTGGTCTTTATATTGTGTTTTTTTGTGTTCCTCCCATGTATCTCCGCAGCGCTGTACCATTTGTTTTCTCTGATATCAAACCAATCTCCCTGTTATTTGGTGTTTTCATGCCGATGAACATCTCTTTATATGTATACTACTGATAAATCTTATCAGTAGCACATGCCACAATAACAGTAAAATCTCTCCATCAACTCCACCGACTGTGAAAAGGCCTTCAACAGCGTTGACCATTAATTGATTTGGAAACTGCTTCAACAATAAGGGGTGCCCTGTACCCTTATCAACCTGATTCAACAGTAATACAATGATGCTATACATTAAGTGATTCTCAACGTAAAACTCAGTAATGTCTTCGAAGTGAATACAGGAGTGAGATAAAACTGTTTACTATCACCGATAATTCTCCTAATTGTGGATTATGCGATAAATCACAGGGAGCGAGAAGGCAGGAATACACTGAACCCATAAGATGATTGTAGAAGATCTGGATTTCACGGACGATTTAAGTCTAGTATCACACAAACTCGAATACTTATGGGTGAAAACCAACAAGTTGGTGGGAGAGGCTGATGGTAAAGGCAGAACTTCAAACAAACATTGAGAAGACATAGGTCGTGAAGATAACCAACAATAACAACAACCAGTCACTACCAACAGGAGAAATTTGAAAGACGTTACTTCCTTCACTTATCTAGGTAGAATTGTTTCAACTGTGGGCAGAAGCGCAGATAATCGGGTTCAGAAAGAGAAGGCAGACCTTCATCTATCTGAAATCATTTTGGAAATCTACTGAAATCAGTATAGACAACAAAATTCGGATTTTCAGCACCCGCATCAACCTTGGCTCCATACTGATGATCAGATCGCCAGAAGGAATTAACAACAAGAAACTGTAGGAGCGAACTAATCAAGAACCTATTGCTCACAAATATGTAGGGGAAAATGGAGGTGGATCAGACACGCGCTGAGGTAACGCCTGGGTGAAATCGTGCGCCAGGCGCTCGAGCAGAATCTGAATGGGAAACGACGATTTGGGTGTCCGTGGGTGGCATGGAGGAGATGACAGCCTATGTGCAGTTGTATAACGAGCTAAAGAGGACTGCAGAGAACAGGACAAAGTGGAGATGTGCTATTGAAGCCCTATATTCCCCTCGTAACCCAAGGGAATAATAATATTTTACACATTTCACTTACGTCACATAACAATAATTGCAGTGCTTTTGTAGATAAAAGCAATGATATTTCACTATCCGTCCAATGGAAAGAAAACGCCGCATGCAGTAATGACAATTTAATACAATTTCAGTGATAAACAGAGTAACTTTCTCGTAACCATCCTACACTATCATCATACACATGGCAGTAAGCCAGAAATATTTCACATAAAAGAACCCTATCTATTTAACAAGATTCTTTCTTACTGAGTTTTAGTCTTCTTGTTAGCCCTTTAGCATATTACACATCACTTCAAAAAATCTTGTAGCTGAAACACTTATACTAAAATACGAGAGGGAGTAAAAAAACAGAAAAGAAGAAAAGAATTGTTAGAGTTATTTGACAATGACCTAGAACGACGCAATAAGATCATCGATCAGCTGCGCTAGCATTCAAGCCTTACTAGAGGAAAAATTAATCTAAAAAAATTTTTTTCCTTGTTATTGTTGTTTTTATTTGCCTGGGAGAAGGCAATGGAGTGTGAGATAGAATTTTTATATTTATTTATATAAATATACTTGCTGTGTATGTGAGATACAGACTATGCGGCCGAGCCAAAAGTACAGGCATTTATACAGACACGTATATATCCCTTTACATAGACACGTAACAAACAGACACGTATGCGATTAATGTAACTATGAAATACGACTTTTACGCTAAGGGTAGGGAAGAGAGAGAGGGGCAGGCAATAAAATAGTCAGGACATAAACCATACCAATCAATAATAAGGAAGAGATCGAAAGATAATCCGTAAATGGCCTGCACAAGCTTTTATTACCTATATTACTATTACGGCTACTTTATTGATTAAATATCAGTAAGCATTGAGCAATTAGCTGGTAGTATAAAAGTGGGATATATATATATATGCACGTGTCCAAAATTATATCACTTATTTCTGTTTTGAGATTTTTGAAATTCGAACTGATGAATATCCTAAATGACCGTGTACGCCCAAAATCTAGTACATATGTTCTAAAAGGCGAATACGACCACTTGCCATAGCAACAAAAATATCCGAATGCATGCAACTCTCAGCTTCTTTGTGTGTGTGTTTCACCATATACAAGGGTAAATTATTATTCAGGGCGTGTACGCACTCAACCCCTGAAAAAAAGGAAAGTTTGCTGCCTTTATCAACAAACAAATAAAATCGGAACGGAAAGAATAAATTTAGAAAATATAGAAAGAGAATAAATTAATAACAACCTTTAAGTAGGGGCAACAAATAATCTTCATATAAGAATTGAAAATAGAAAGCTAACCTTTGCAGATGCATCACAAGCACCTGAAACAAAACTTCGCAAATCAGGAGCTAAACTCAAACTCATGACATCGCCTGTATGACCTGTGAATGTAGCGACCTGTTGACCAGTTTCAATATCCCAGAGTCCACTGAAAAATAAAGACATTCAGAGTAAAACGGTAAAAGACAATTTTCCAAGTGAAAAATAACATATGCAGATAACTAATGAACTATTCAGTTATCAAATGTCACTTATCTATCCTATATTTACAACAAAAAAATTTGTTCAGCATGGGAACAAAGATGAATGTCATAAAATGTATTGGAACTACAACGAAAAAAGAGAATCGAAAAGATTATTGTGTAACAGTGAACTTCTAAGAGTTCTTGTGAAGTCGTTACTTTATATTACTTTAGGACATCGCAGAAGTGACTCCAACTTTAAGTCACATCTGAAAACGTTTCGAGTGACTGAATTTCATTGGCCCTAATCACAGGCTGCGATGTACCAGCAGATACCAACTCAAGGAAACTGTTTCTCACCTCACAGGGCTGTCATAGAATGATCATTTCATTCAGTTCCACAGTTAATAAGTGATGAACAGTATGGAAGTTGCTAGAATGACATTCATGAGAAAAGCTCATTTCAGTGAAGCCAATTTCCCAGGATGTAATCTTAACTGAATGACGGCCTCTACCTCGTCTAAAGGTGCACCGTCGGATCTCAAAATCACTTTGATGATATCATCACCAAATGCTACCCATCCTAAATAGCCTGGTGATCATATGCAAATAGTCACATGACATGATCAGCTAAAATGAGCATATAGCAGAACTGCACACATTAAGATACTATAAATTCCACATTGTAACGATATGGACATGGAAACTATGACAGCTGAGAATCAGATTGGTGTATGTAAGTTTGTTCGATCATCATCCACATTCACGAAACTATGTAGATATGTATGAGCCATTCGGTGAGCGTGTAAAAGGGTTCCTAACAATATTGCAGACTTTAATAGTGCAAAGAATCTGTCACATTTATAGACAATGATCGGCATGTGACGTTGTCGCACAACGCAACTCAACACGGAATTTTTTCTACATACTACGTCCGCACAATCACTACATATCTATTTTAAAGATGCCATTAATAAAAAGTTTTCCTTGTACCGGACTACGAACTACACTCGTTTGGAGTTGCCTTATTTTACTAGCTCAAGTACGTGGAATGATAAGCACTGGTTGAAAGTCAGTTGCGTCAACTAGTCCGATTAGCACATGCATCCGCACATAAACAGAAAACAGGGTGTTTTAAGCCTAAAAACATCTAGCATGTTGTTTTCATTTTTTTTCAATTTGCAGTTAACAAGACATATTGGGTGGGATAAAGAATATAATATTAAATTTCAATGACAAAAAATAACCAAGCCTTAAGTTTGAATACCGTCTACATAAAATTAAATAAAAACGATAATACTCTAAGTAAAGTTCTAAGTGCGTGATATACAGACTTGGTGAAAAATCTATAACTTATCCTTCATGCTGAAGTACAGACTATACAATAATATATACAATAATAATAATATGGTGAAAAAAAGGTATAAAGTTCTCAGTTTTGACCAGAATTCTAAATTATCCACATAATCGACTAAAATACTGGAGTGAAAGTGGTCATAGTAACTTTCACAAAAGATCTATCATATTTCAAATGTCTTCACACTTCAAATTTACTTTCCAGGTATTTTTTTTTATTAAAATTAATATGAAGGTTGGAGTCTCATCATCCTTATAGCTTCCATATGGAAATTTGTAATAATAAGCAGATGTATCAATATTTGCTTTATCTATGGCATTTAAAACTTTCATATGTCTACTGTTGCTAAATAATTATCTATTCTGATACCTTAGGAATAATCTCATCTGAATTTTAAGAAAACGTTTCGTACTTAATTTCTTTTAAATTGAAAAATGAACTAGTCGAGTTAATAAACAGAAACAAGTTGCAGTAAAATAGACTTCTTCAAAACGAAAACATTAGTTATGGGGGCGGGGTCAAATGCGTACAACCTCACGTTTAATGAGGCTACTATGGAAGAAATTTAATACGAGGAACACTATCGGGGGAAAATAAGCCTTATTAAGAAACTATTTCCTTTATTATTTAATAACGTATTTAATAATACACTAAGAAACGTAGAAGACTAGATAACGTTATTGAAATCGAAGACAAATTTACCTAGTTATATATTCACATTTAGGAATTCGTGAATTAACATACGTATTTCAGGGAACGAGTTTTGAAATGAAGTAAATAAGTCTACATATAACTACAACTACGATCTCAAATATCAGTCTTGTATGTGCAATGGGACTGGTTTCCACAATATGTTAGAGCACTAGGCAATGCCTACGGTTACACTGATAAATTTAGTAAGAAGGATATTGATCAACTCTTATCCCATCCATAGAAGTTGAGATATATGAATATCAAAAAAGGAATGGGTTCGTGGTACAGTAAAGCAAACTGCTGTACCTTAGGGTTGTTACGTAATCAGTGAAGATAGACGTGATCTCATCCAAAGTATCAAGTTGAAACACTGTTTTGTTGTGCTTAAATATTAAGAGAAATATATTAGATTAAAGCAGGAATGACAAGATTATAAATGACTAACAAATCGAAGTAGAACGACGCATTTTATGTGTCTATCAATTTCGAGGAGTAATTTTTTAAAAAAAAGTTAGAAGATAGAGGGAATGACAAAATTTGTGAGGATACGATAGGATTATGATCTACGAATTTTGTGATATCTTGTGTTAACACGATAACAGACTCCGAACCTTCTTGTTTACCTCGAATATAATAAACATTGTGGAAATAGTTAACAGAAAGTAGTTCGACCGGAAAACGATGACAGTAATTTTCACCAGTGGATTACTTTGCCACCAATTCGTCAATTATTGTCTTACACAAAGTTGTATTTCTTTAAATCGTATCTTTTGTCTTCTTTTAGTTGTTTACAAATATTACATTTTTTTCCCTCGTTTAATTATGACTTTTGTGTATGATCTTGTGCCCCAATTCTTGCTTCTGACAAGATTTCTAATTGTAACATTTCTTATACGTTAAAAACCAACAATTAGAAAGAGGGCAAAATGGTTGAATGAGTTAGTCAGTTCACTTATTTTAAGACATACATTACTATCCATGCAGCGAGCTTTGTTTTAACCGAATTAGGTCATTTCTGGGTGTCGGCATAATATCTGACTATCCACCATAAGGGTCATTCAGATCCAATCGACTGGTCTTCACCATAAAGCCGTAGCATGGTCAGTGAAGACATAAAATATGAAAATTTTGCAAGCACTTGAGATAACAGGTGTTTCCTGGATGTTGATACGTGGGTGGACTGGAATTATGTGTCTGAACAATAAAAATCACAACTTGTTCATCACTTTCTACCCCAACAATTGGTGTTCGAAAGCAAAGAATTTAGTCAAAAATGTAGACTTACCTGAGTACGCTCTTTAAAATGTTGGGAATCTGAGCTGTAACCTTTACTTGTTAAGTATTAATTGAATGAAAGACGTAAATTATCTGAATACTCATATAATACATTAAATTTTAAAAAAAACTAAACTAAACATCTACAACATACCAGGTGACATCACCAGAACTAGTCACAATTTGACTGTCATCAATGAAACGACAACACGACAGGTATCCTGTGTGTCCTGGTAGTTCACGACTAACACGTACATTTCCTTCGCGTGTTTTAAGGTTGTAGATAGAACAAATATTGTCTAAACCCCCGCATGCAACATAATTACCGGAAGGTGCATATGCGCATGTCATGACCCAGCTACTTCTTAAAGGAATGGCATGAACCTACAAAAGAATTCAACATACTATATTGTAAGACTGATAAAACTTGACAGAGAAATTCAGAAAAAAAGGAAATCAAACTGTTATCAATAAGATAATATGGCAAACTGAAAACTAATGGTAAGTATAAACTACTTTCTTTAACTTTAAGCTACCTGGGAGATACTTACAGCATTTATGAAACGTTGACCTGATTAGATAATGCAAAAAAGATATTATTAAAAGTAAATTAGAGTCAATATTAAACATAATTTCAACAGTGCCCACAGAAAACATTATAAATCTCGTCAACATCTACTTTAAGTCCAATATGACATCATCGAAAAATGCAAAAAAAAAACAAAAACAAACGAATATGACAAGCACAAACGTTAAATGTCACTTTAGAGAACAAGTGAGAAGTTATACACTATAATAGGGAGAAGTTTGAGATATTACATAACAGTCTTACCTAATAATATTAAACGAGTGAATTCTTACCTTATTAGTAGTATATCCATCCCACACTATTAGTTTACCGTCTTGTGAAGCTGAAACAAGATTACGGGAATCAGTGCTCCAGTGCATCGCATAAATTTTAGCCAAATGGCCACGTAAAGTACGACGAGTACGCAATTGAATTCGCCCAACAGGTTCCACATTAGAAGCTGCCTGAAGTAAAGTGGTATCAGCTGCAGCTTTGCGAGCCTCCTAGAGAATAAACAGTCCCATTAAATAATGACATACTATTCGTAATTGGTAATTACGGATGAACTAAGAACTAGTAAAAACCCATACATAATGCGTAAAATCACTTAAAGAGAATTTAATAAGATATTCAGTAAAGACACTGTTTCATTCACTTTAACACTAAGTGAATGAACCAAAATGAAATACTCCACTATACGATCTCAATCCTATTCCCTCACTAATGGTAAGTGAATTATTTTCTAAAAATTCCTCAGAGACTGGCATTTTTTACTCAAAAACATATAGGATATTAATCGCAAAATTGATCACTTCTCAACAGATTTTGAGACTAAATCACCAAGATATTAAATTTAGTTCCAGTCTAAATAAATATGCTCATAATTAGAAGGGGAATGAGTTCATGGGGAAATGTTTCATTCACAAAACTCCTCAAGATTTGAATGCAATTATCCGCTACTGAATTAAACGAAATTACCCTTCTGGTATTTATTTCATATATTAATGCTTCTAAATATTAGTAAGTGCAACTGTTTTGCTATTAGTAACCTCATGGTTTGTCTCGCTGTATCCTCGGCTAGTTCAGTGTGCAAACTAGGTCAGTTTAAGTTTCTTCAGTCTTTCAAAACCATAAAGCAGGTATTGAGAACAGTAGAATGTATCGATAAAGGTAAATGAGCCGTTTAATTTTGAGGTCACTTTGAAGAGTTGTCCGTTTTCATACCATTCAAGTTTTTTTTAAACGTCTTCATGCCACTATTCTGTGTATAGGACAGTTAGTCCGTTGTTCAGTGTTATCTTACATTTATGACAAACAATAATAATACTTTTAAATAAATAAATACAGAGCATAAAGTAGTTAGTTTTTAGTTGCCCTTACATTGATTGTATGTGTAATACACTGAGTCACTTTTCCTTCTAAAGAAACATACCGAGTATTAACTCGGTCATAATACAAATATTTTATCAAAGAGAGTATAAGCAGCAATACTTACATTGGATAATTTAACAACACTTCTTCTTGGTTCATATGCTTATTTAGTGTTTCTAAGTAACTGGAAGCTTGCTCTAATTTCTCATACTCGTCGCTCATTTAAACTTACATCCAAAGTTTTATACATACTACCTGGTATTTGACATGACCCATATGCTTTTCTCACAAGAAAATTCCTATGCCTTAGCCTTTGTTTTCACTGGTGTCTAAATTAATTCATCATGTCAAGATGAAGCGGATGCTAATCAATGGTGCTGGCTGGCGGTAGCGCTATATCATGAATTACTAGAAGTCAGAAGTCAAGGGTCATTGAATTTCAACCTAAAAGCTGAGTGGTCAACAAACCTGCCGTGTAACATGAATGTCTAGGATTTGGTTCATGATATATTTATGGGTGCGCACTGTGCAGAGTTCCAAACTAGGACGAAACAAACAGCTAATGCTTTCTGATTTTCAATAATTTTTTAACCAGTGTCCATTCGTGACAAAATATACGAAATTAATCAAGATCCCTACAAAACCAAAAATGTTTATGGGTTTATGTTTACGTTTAAACATTATCAATAGGTATGTTTAAGTGAAGTTTTCGTAGATAATCTAGATTACACTGACTTGACAATGTTTAGGGTAAAACACACTGGCAATACATCAATTGAGAAGAAAGTCAATCCAAGTGACTGCAGTCCTTAGAAATGTCACTAAATTTTGATATACTAAACGAACGATCACATTTTCCTACTGAAACTTTGTCGATAGTAATTAATTATTATGATGTAAAATTCCTATGAAATTTTCAAAGATCAATAGGTTTTTTTTCATGCATTTAACTTTATTCATAACTATGAGGTTTACATTTAGAGGAATTGGATTGAGAATCCGTATATGCTAATAATATTACGATGGGAAAAAGTGAAAATAACCACGTTGGTAGTAAATTCTACTTTCGATCTTAAATTATCGATAGTTTACCTACACAATACGTCACTTACCAACAAAACGAATCTCAAGCGAACACATAATATAAGTGGTGGGTAGTAATGAGTAAGAACTGAAACATCTGATATACATTCATGGACCATATGATAAACCAAACCCATTGTGTAACAACAAATAATGCTAATCCTCTTCTCAAGCTGCGGTAAATGAGATTCGAACTAGCGATTCATTATTTATAGAAATAGTGTATAAGTAAACGACTAATGGCTCAATTTTGTTTGGTATACTAGTACACGCTTGTATACACATAAGTCACAATTAGTAAGGATCATGAATAACTTTTAAATAAATTATTCCTATGATGAAATATACACTTTAATCAAGGTCAACTAAACACAGGCCGACATCACGGTTAACGAACATCTCAAATTACGAGTATACTGAAAATTTCGAAGTGAATTTCGAATAAAATTCATTCTATATGACCTTATGCCCCAGTTTTTTCTATAAATGTAGAGTTAAATTAGTCGAAATGGGACACTTTTATTGCTTTTATCCCCGTTATCAATTTCTAGATAAACTTGTCAAACATGTTTGTTATAAGAATGAATTCAGTTGATGAAGGTTACATCAGGAAACAAAGGTATGAAACTAATTAGAGAATAGGAGTATAATACTCATAAAAACAAATCAAGTCAAAGAAAATGTACAGAAGCCATTGAGTTGATACATTTCCTCAACACCAAAAAATTAAGTATAAATATTAGTCTCCCATACTACTTTCTAAGTGAGAGTAGACCAACAGAATTAAACAGTACACACTAGCTCTTCATAATTCTCAACAAAAAGATAAAATAAATAACCAATTAAAGGAAGTGGTCTGGTAATATATGCATATACCGCACGCTAGCTCATGGATTCAAGACCGTTATTAGTTTACTCACAAGAATTCAACTTTATTTCGCACTATTTACTTCGTTTCGTCCTAAAGTAAGATGCCTCTTTCTATCTTTACACAAGTCATAGGATGGTAGATTTTAGCTTCAAAGGGTAACATCATTTGTTCACTGTTCGATTAAAGACTGTTTTAATTCATCATTATCCTTTCAAATTATGTCTCATCCTTCTTTATACATGTTGAACCAGTTTGGTGAACTAAGTAAATTCAAAATCTATCAGTGAGCTAACTTTACACGTAAAATACTTAAGTAACAATTTAAAGGACTCACTCTAATCATATTTTTGAGTTGTTCACTCTCTTGTCTTAGCTGATCTAATTCGCTCATTTTTTGATGGAGACCTAAAAGGAAAAAAAGGCAAATATTAAACAAACTACAAATTAACATATATATACATAACCGCTAGCAGTCGTGGTTCAGATAAACTGTTTTATACAACCAGTTCTCGTTATTAATTTGAATAAATAATAATGATGTGTAGAAGATCCATAATGTCGGTTACTGTGGATGTGAGGTCTTGAGAAGCATGATTTTCACTTGATAGTCACATAGTATGAAATAATCGAAAAAAAGCACTTAAATACATTCTCTAGCATAGACTTTATAACCAAAAAAGAAATCGCCAATACAAACGCAGAATCGTTCACCAAAGCTTCAGCAACTATGAATTATCAACCCTCATATAATAAGTAAGGGTCATTCTCAATTGCAAGCTGTCAATGATTGTGAGAACCAATCCCATCTACAAATGAGAGCAGTTTAAAAAAATTTTATGCGTAAAATTAAGTGCTTTCTAACTGCCTGAATGCTTTTGTGCATATTCAACTTTTTAAGGTGTTAAAATGATCCTGATTGGAGAGAAGTAAGTAACTAGATCCTACGATTATTTAGTAATCAGCAGCTGCGTATTTAACTGCACATTGTGAAAGTAAGTCTGTTAAGATAAATTAGTATGTAAAAGTAGACAGAAATGGAAATCAAGATAAGGAAACCACTATTGTGTTGGATAATGGACCACCAAATCAAACGGCAACTGCATAATCACTGGCCAAGTTGAAATCCAGTGGTACACACTTTCTATCCTCTATCTATTCATGATACAATGTAACGAATACACTTAATCTTAACTTCGCTGACTCCAAGAATAATTACTCTCAATAAGGCTGTTTCTAGATATGTTAGTTACAAGTGAGGAGTGAGTTATTATCCAATAGGATGAAAAAACTTGACCACAAAGATATAGAAAATATTGAAAAATGCAGTGGATATTTGAGTGTAGTAACAGCAAACGAATAACTAAACTATTCATGCTTAAGATTTAAAGAAAAGCAATCACTTATACAGAATCGAAAGACATTCGTCCTGCCAACTGTAAAAATTCTGAGACTTCACCTCTTAATTAATATATATTGTTAGACATTAAAAGGAGTATAGTCCTTTTGTCTTTTTAGAAAAACGGACATATTCGACTGTAAAAACTTTAAATGCATGCGATATCTCAATGTTAGTCATAACGCATCTACGCTGAAGTCTAACTGACAATGAGACTTAAATGTAAGGAAGAATTGAACACATCTATCTTCTGTAGTTTTATTTAGAATCCCGTTAAAAGCTGGATTTGTGACTCATGAGTGCAGATACATTTAAATCTTGTTTTGAGGATGTTTCCCCTTTTTTCTGAGGTTTTGAAGGCAGAATGACACTAGATTTGGTGCTCACTCACTACATTTGGGTGTTACGACTAGAAAACCGTGTACAGGTTTGAGTAGTATGCGATAAAAAATACACAACACGATGTCTACGAAGTATATTTTTATTTGGGAAAACTTCATAATATATTTCTAGAACATATGTTTCGCACATAAGAAAAGCAGGATTATAGGGCTGCCAAAATAATATGTAAGTGATGACACTTGCTGTCAACTAGCACATTAAGCCTAGTACTTGGTGACGGGAACGACGTTGATGGAGCAAAATGGTAAGACAGTCAATAGATATAATAGTGGACTGTGTTTGCGAATTCCGATAAACTAAATTACTTTTGTGGCAAATAGCGTTTCGCACAAATAGTATGAGTAAATAATTTCTAAGTGGAAGATAACTCATAAGTCAATGAGATTATAAACTAATTCGAACATCTGATTCTACCCACAGAGAAAATAAAATTAATACCAGTTTCTACGACGTACAAATCAAAAATCAACTACTACGAGATCATAACAAAAACTGACCGAATTAAAAAACACAAGTTCATTTAAATCATGGTTGCTGAACATCTAACAGCTCACTAGTGATTCCATATTAGTTTGTTTATTAGGTATATCACACAGTGAAACAGTATTATTTAATAATACTGTTTCACTGTGTGATATACCTAATAAACAAACTAATATGGAATTACTTACTACCACAGTGCCCAAGTTTTACACATATATTAAGCTCACTAGTGAGTATAAATTGTCCAATGACTACAGGAAATGAAGACGTTGACTATTTCACTGGGTTGGGAATTTCAGCCAGGATGAACTCGAGTTCGGTTTACGAAAGGTTTAATTACCTCGTGCCGAATTATGCCTCTGAAGAGACAGATAGCTATGAGAGCTACTGCACAGAGATTCTTTGTCTTACAATGGAGAGTCACACTTTAATCACTACTACAAGATAACAAGAACAGTAATCAAAACGGTATTATAATAAATTCAAATAATTTCCAGTTTTCCTTAAACTTCAAATACTTCTTACTCCATACTTATTATTTAGTACACCACTGATGTTACTTTTTACTAAAATTATTTGTCATCTTTGTGTATTTCCCAGTGGTTTCTATGGCAGATGATGACCCAAAAAAGTTACCTGCTTGTTACCAAGATATAACAAATTAAGCCAAAGTAGGAAGTTTCTGTATAACTGTATTTCTGCATTAGGAACTTCAGTATTCCACATGAACACTACGTAAATAAGATACTCAGACATAATAGTAACAGTATGTACGTTTGCAATGGACGCATATACTATGATATATTATTTTAGAGATGAATATTGTCGAAAATGAGTTTCAACTGGAAACTACTGAAAAACAGTGAGCACTGAACAGCTGCTTTAGCCTATTTCAAGATGTATTAGGAATATGCACTAAACAATCGAACCAAGTACTGTTAAGGCTCACATAAACTGAAAGTGTAACTCACCACAACGCACACCCACTTATATCAACTGTTTCTTTTACTCATAAAACAATACTCATCCCCACTGTGAACAACAACCTAAAAATTCCAAGTATACAGGTCCATCTATTTCAGATAGCATAATCTCAGAATGAGCACATAGGTAAGTTAATAATCGAAATATATTACAAGACGACATACTCATCTAAATTATATAGTCATAGGAATATAGGCTCACGACCCACCCAACTTTTTTTGTCAACCACAATCTGATTAGACTTCATGAATTACCATTTCCAAGTAAATCAACATATACGGGGATAGAAAAATAATTTCAAACATGTCTGAAGTGGACCTACAACACTAACTCTCAGGAAGAAAGAGATACATGGGAGTTAGAAACAAACAACTCAAAAAATACAGTTTCGTGTGGTAGGCTATAACCCACGATAATTATGATAGGGCATGTTCAAACATATGGCTGTTTGGTTAGAAGCTAAGCGTTTGAGTTTAGCAGACGATTCTATTGTTGAAAATGGAAAGAAATAGAAATCGGACCTTAGAGATAGTAATTTAATGATGTTTCATTGGGTTATGTACCTCACTTTCAGTCTATTAATGCAGGGCTTTGAAACTTCTAACTATTATAAGCTGGTTAGGAGTTCAATTTTATGCACTTACACAGTAATTGTGTCTAGGCTTTGTACATCAAAAAAGTGCACGTTGATCGGGTCACACAACCATACTGTATTATCAAGTGACTTGATATACTTATCTGACACTGAAATAAACATTGATGCGACATGAGGCATATATACAGGTTGAAAAAGTGGATTTCAAGTTAGTCTACCGATTCTAACTAGGAATCAGATATCTTACGAACTAAGTAGTGATATGCTAGACTACATTTTACGAATCAAGTTTGAAAATTTGAAATTCTCAATTTAGGAAACAAAAAAGTTGACCGGGATATTGTCACTAGTAATTCGTACTGATACTTTAGGTTCCTCTTTCCACTAAACATGGGACAGAGACATGCATGTAACTAAACGACAATATGCAGTTTTGGGTTAGCTAAGTTGCTAACGTTAGACCTTGCACAAGAGTACAGAATTTCAAGTTGCCACACTCCATAATGCACACGGAGAAAAACTCAAAGAACTATTGCGGGTAAAAACCCAGAGGACAAAAAACAACTCCATGGAGAGACTCCAGGACCTAACCGATTTAGGAGAATGCAAAGAGTGAATGCATCTGCGTCACTGACAGTCACAAGTCATCGTTATTTAAAGTCTGGAGGATCCCGATCACGCAGTCATCTAACGTGGTTTAACTGACACTAACATATCCTACCCACCAAGATCGATGTCACTAAACAACCTTGCCGTTTAACTACGAATCTATACGACGTGCCACTGTAATAGACATGCAACCAACCCAGCTATAATGCAGTGTTTATTCACAGGTCAAAAGTTTTTCCGTAAATGTATAAACGACTTTTGACGACGTGGCAACAGAGATTGAGATCTTGTTCTTTTAACTGTTGCATACCATTTCAGTTGTACGGATAGACTAATTGTAAACCAATGTAGCAAATTAGATCAGCTGTGGTGCATTGGTCACAAAGGCTGGTATCAACGAGTGAACCTATTTTGAACCCGGCTGGCAGAAGCATATGTAGCAAGAAGCAAAACAACAAAAGCGGTTTGTAACTAAGTATATAAGGAACCATGTTACTACAGAAGTATTCCTTATATCATGGAAGTGACTTATTATGCTCAGGTGGTAGAAGAGCACTAAGTAACTGAGGAATAAATACAAAGATGTCCAGAAGACTGCTTCAGTCTAGGGGGCCAATTTTAAAAAAATACTTTACAAGTATTTAAAAAAGTCGTCCATTAATGCTTCAAAAGTGGGGATTCAGCAATTAGTGCGTTAAAATACTATCCCAAAAATGAACTCAGGACATACACCTACGACGATATACTGTTGCATACAAATTATAAGGCTACAAATAACGTCATATATTATGATCCATCATTTCACTGAAGTTGAGTAATTTATACAGGCTAATGGGAAACCGGCAAAATGTGAAATACAGAGTATAAAAACAGAAGGAAATGAACAAATACTCCGAGAGAGCGATGATCACTGTCGTCCGCAAAACGTTCCAAAACGTTCTGAACTATGCGTTGATGATGCTGTTTTATGGTGAATGAGTATTTTGTGTGCCTATTTAGGCACACATACTGGGTTTTTCTTATGAAAAGAACCTATTGTGTACTGAAGGAATGATGGTATTGCTTGAAAATAGCACCGGACGCTTGAGTAATGCGAGCTGTGCTGAAATAACGTTAGCCAGTGCTGGAGGGAGCTCAAGTGACGCTGAAGAACAAACTACTGGCAATAATTCCGAAGATAGAGTGCTGAATTGGCGCAGTTCATATCGAAAAAATGCACGTAGTTCTATTTTGTGCGGGAAGTCAAACCATTTCAGGATTTACTCACCAAAGGAAGTAGACCTTAGTTCAGAATTTACGAGTTTTACTTCAGCACTATTGTAAGCTTGGATTTCGGAGCAGAAAATTAATAAATGGTAGATCGTTGCGTTACATCGCGACTGGAGAGACGCCACCCACAAGGGAGGATCAAGATAATGTCCTTTAAACCATAGGCCTATTAGTCTCACCAGCACTTTGATCAAGACACTGGAAACAATCATCACGAAAAGTATCATGGCATATCTGGAAAAGAACTCATCCGGAGCACAGCATGGCTTTTGAAGAAACCTCTCATGGCTGTCAAATACGAAGCTGGGTCGAGAAAACACAAGACCCGTCGACATCGTCTTCATAGACTTCAGCAAAGCCTTAGATACAGTGCCACGGAAAAGACTGCTCGCGAAATTGGAAAGCCTTGGAATTAAATGTGGCTCACTAAACTGGATCAGAGAATTTCTCACAAGTAGGAGAAAAGGTCAGGATCAACTCAGGACTCTCTTCCTGTACAACAGTGCATAGTGGGGTGCCACAAGGCACGGTACCCGGGCCTCTCTAATTATCTGAGTTATCTGTGCTCATTGATTCCCCTATAGTCCTACACGCAGATGAGTGAGAAATTTGGAGGCGTTGAAGGGCGACTTTGCAAGGATACCTTAATAAATGGTTAGAGTGGTCCAAATAATGGATGTTTCCGATCAACGTAACGAAATATACAACTATTAACATTGGACGCGCAAGCATCAGCCCCTACGAACTAGGGGGAATAACAGTCCCATTAGTTCAGACTCATTTGGATTTAGGTGTCATAG